CGTTGCATCTGCTGTACTCTTCCCCCTCCACAACCAGGGCACGGTGCCATTACCAAATCAAAAAGACCGGTGGGAGAAGGCGCAGGAGGTTGATGCCCCTAAGCATGCCGAAAAACCTAGCTCGCCACGCATGAAGTGCCATAGAGGCCCCATTATAGCCACATTCTCCGTCCGCCACTTCACGAAAACACACACTGGGCCGACAGCGCATGCTGGGTTACCCTGTCAGTTGGGAGCAGTCCTAGCCACGGCCTCTAACACATCGTGATAGCTTCTAGCGATTTAGATTGCTCATAGAGAGTGAAATGCTCTGGACCTTCGATCTAACCCTCTATTTGTATCCCGGTGCCCTAGTCACTGTCTGAGCCAATCAGTTGACTGCTTTTCGGAATGGGCGCAGCTGCTGGTATGCAGAATGATATAGTCTGCGCGTGACACGTAAACGACTTGCCTCCCCCTCCCCCTCCCCCCAACCACAAACAAAGCAAACAAAAGTGACCTAATCTGGTTCTCGCTACCCCGCATAGACTAGCTGTAAAGCAGGTAGTGACAAGTTTCTACGCATCTGAGAAGGCAGAACCAACTTGGGCGGGATAAATAGCTTTAACGTTCTTAAGCTGACTAAACGTTGGCTTCACAGACATCAAACTCCAATGGATGAAATATAGAATAATGCAGGCAATACGAGCTCTTCTATTTCCCCTAGTCGACTACCAACATTTGCTGCCAAGGTGTCATACCCCTCCCAGATCTTGAACTACAGACTGTACAGGTTAAAATCGAGAACAATAACACGCAAAGCCCCGATAAAGAGGGCAAAATAATTACTATAAGCAACAAAATGAAAAAGATGTCTCCATGGTACATACAAAAACTACGCGACAAAAACGTCGCTGAATGACTGGGTTATTGTACAGTGCCCTCGGGTATACTGCAGGTGGGGGGCTGAAAATGCGACCGTTAGTCAAATAGAAAGTGCTACGTGAGGATGTTCACCTACCCAACATCCGCA